AATTTTAGAATTATCTGACTGTGCTCCAGGAGAATCTCTATTGAGTTTTCATTGGACTTGTATCAACTTTTAGATCAACTTTGGGGAATTGTAAGTTTTTGATATAACCCTATCCAAGAAAACAGTTGTTTCATTTATTTAGATTTTAGAAATTCTTTTAATAAATTTTGTTTGTTTCTTAAATTCCACATAAGAGTGAAATCATATGCTATTTGTCTTTCTCTGTCTATTTCACTTAGCATAATACCCCGTGGGTCTATCCATGCTGTTGCAAATGATGAGATCTCACTTTTTTTTTTAATGTTCATTTATTTATTTTTGAGACAGAGAGCAAGGGAGGGGCAGAGAGAGAGGGGATGGGGGATAGAGGTTCCCAAGTGGGCTCTGTGCTGACAGCAAAGAGCCTGATGTGGGGCTCAAACTCACAAACCATGAGATCATGACCTGAGCCAAAGTCGGACACTCAACTGACTGAGCCACTCAGGCGCCTCAGAGATCTGATTCTTTTTTATGGCTGAGTAACATTCTGTTGTATATACACACTGCTGTTCTCTATCCATTTGTCTACCAATGGACACTTGAATTGATTCCATATCTAGGCTGTTGTAAATAATGATGTTATAAACTTAGGGATGCATATATCTTCAGATTAGTGTTTTTGTTTTCTTTGGGTAGATACCCAGTAGTGGAATTAGTGAATCATATGGTAATCCTATTTTTATTTTTTTGAGGAACCTCTATACTGTTTTCCAAAGCGACTACACCAATTTGCATTCCCACCAACAGCACACAAGAGTACCTTTTTCTCCACATCCTTGCCAACACTTGAATTTCTTGTCTTTTTGGTTCTAGCCACTCTGACAGGGGTGCTGGTGGTGACATTTCTCTTCAGCCCCCTCCCTTCCCAGTGTAGATAGTGAGACAGTTTTGGGAACCAGTGTGAGTACTCTCCACTTATCCTGCTAGCACCCGTGTATTCCCCAGCAGACCTGCCCCATCCACCACTGCCCCATTTGGCATGTGTCCCTCCAGAGCCGCTTTTGCCCCAGCGCGCCCTGCAAACCACCCCAGGAGGGATCAGCGCCACTCCAAAGTGACTCCTGCTCTGGGAAGAGGGGAAGATAACCACACACACCAGTGCATCGGCATCCCCAGCGGCCGTTCCTTATGGCCAGAGGCACAGAGAGAGTGTCCTGGTGATCGGTGTGGCTACAGCCCCAGCAGGCAGACTGGGGGCAGGCAGCTGGTCTGACCGCCTGCCCTGCCCACCAACAAAAACCTCTCATGGGGCATCACAGGAAGAGTGCCCTGCAGTCCGGTGTGATGGCAGATGGACTGAGGGCAGACATCTGGACTGACCGCTGACCCTGCCCAGCTACCAGCCCGCAGCACCCCCAGCAGGTCCCCCAGCCTCTACGTTGCAGAGGAGGCTCCCAACATTGACATTGGCCAAGGCCTTTGCAAACAAGCCTGGCCAGACAAGTTCAACATTCACGCCCACTACTTTAGTGAGGACACTGATCTCCTCCGGGACTGTCACTCCATTGTTGTGCAGGGTGAAGGCCTGGCGGACACAGGCAAGCTCCAAGACAGAAGCCACGGTGCGGGCGAGCGCTGGGTGCGGAGCTAGTCATTGGATGAAGTGAGAGCCCCCCCCCCCCCCCCCCCCCCCCCC